GTTCTATGACCCTGCATTGTTGAATCTGGTCTCATAGTATATGTCTGTGCTTCAATCTGTAATCCACCACTAGGTGGCGGTGAACCATCAGTCCCACCCCTCTGAAGCCTCTCTACCTGACACTTCCTCCTGCCTACCCTCCTTTCTGTTGAGCCTTTGTGGATTCACATATGTACTGATTGCAGATTTTACTCCCTTTTCATCCTCATGTGGACATAATTCAAGCAAGCCTTTAACGACTGCATAAGCCGCATCTTGTGGCCACTTATCCTTCACTATCATTGTCCCAGTGTTGTAAGATGATGTATTACTTGCTCCCTCACCAGGGTTGTCTTCACACAAAGGCATCTGTTTTCCAACATTTTTTAACATGGTTGACACTTCCTTATATGGATTGCTGTCGTCCACTTTGTCTATTTTCTGCTCAGTGTCAGTCATCTGATCCTGTTTAGTCTCAGAGGCTCCATCACGAGAGCTCTTGTCATTTGTATCACAATGTGTATTGTGAACATCTGCGTCGTTTTTGTCAAGTGTCAAGGTCTTGTCTTCACTCTCTTTACTAGAGGTCAGAACTCCAGTCATAATTCTGAACATTCTGCGCCAATATTTAAATATTTTTTCCTTGTCTGGAGCTTGTTTAGTCTGTAAAACTGATTTCGATCCGTCTGATTTTAAGCCCTGTTGCCATGAACGTTCTAATTTACAAACAATCCTCTCCACTGCAGCTGTGGTTGGTGCTGCCAAGTCTAACTGACACAAATCACCATCAGCTAACAAAACCTTACACATTTGCATAAATACATCCTTCTCTATTTTCACATTTTTCGACTCTATGTCCTCAAGGTAAATCTGAAACGTTCGGTGTAAAATCACACCCAATGAGCCCTGTTGATAGTTTTGTAGCTCTTCTAAAAATTTATCAGCCATAATTATTAATATATTCAATTAACCCCAGCTCAAGAAATCTGGCACAATGCCCAGCAGTTAGCCAACCTGAAATAGGCAATTGTAGTATTTATTTTAGCCCTTCTTAAACAATCTCCTGGCTTGGTCACTCTAAAAT